GGGAGTTTGGCCTTAACTTGCAACCGCAGTATTTAATTAACTGTTCTAGTTGGGTTTTTCCCCCTCCTAATAAAAATGGCCATTTTAGTAGATTAATTAGGGGAGAAAGTACATGAACACATGAATCTGACGTCTTCTGAATCAGACCACTTTACAAATTCTTGTATTTACCCTCTCCCTTTTATTTCCACTCTACCATGGGATAAGGGTGAGAAATGGATGAGTATGTTGAAACCAGGGAGCACTTTTCTGCCATTTTTTTTCAGAAGTGCTATCCTGTCAAAGCCCAAAGTTAAGGCAGGTATGCATTTTTCTTTAAAATGTTGGAAAATTTGTTGCGCCACTGGACTCAAAAGCACAACAAATACCTGTTTCTACTGCCTATTTTCCCACTTCTCTTACATTCTTATGTTCACTAGGTCCCCCAAGGACAATCTTATATAAACCAAAATGGATTGTATCCAACCAGCTTTGCTGCTAGTGAAAAACGGAGGAAGGAGGTCCCCTATGATCACACACAGAGTTATGTGGGGGATCATGGGACCTACACGGACAAAGGCAGGGGAGACACTATACATGAGGAGGGGAACTGAGTGAGATGGAATGAAAAAACTGTCTGGATTCAATCTAGTGTCTGCTTCCATTAAAAGACAAGTTCAGGATGAAACTATCAGGCAAACAAAGCCTGTTTTAAATCCAGTCATGCCCTATTCCTTTTCGTCAGGCGTTAGCTCAGCTCTCCACGCACACCAAGGCACACTTTTGTAACTATTGGCTACTTCTCTGGACATCTTGGTATCATCATGAGAAGGGGGCATGACTGAACAGTAAGTGTGCTCCAGACTCCATGCAAAAGGTTTTCCCGGGTACTATAAGTCCCTTGGTTTACAATGAAATCAAGTCTTACATCTGAGACCCCTTAAGTTGTAGTTACCTAGTCTAAAGTTCTTTGCAGGCTTATATCCCTACTAAGCCATGAGTAGGGATGGGCACAAACCAGCTGACGAATTAAAGTTCATCATGAATTTTGGCCATGGTTCACGAAGTGGTGTTCACAAACTGAAGAACCGCCACGAACTTCTGCAAATTTTGGTGGAGTTTGTGGCGGTTCATGAAGAGCATAAAGCAGGGGTAAACCCTGCTTTTCTATTCCTCACGAAAAACAGATGAGTGGCAGGGAGCATGCATCGGTTTGGTTTAAATGGCTCAGCCATTTAAACTGCTTTCTGCTCCCCATGAAAAGCCAGTCATTTAAACCACCTACTTGTCAGAACCCACAGCCAACAACGAAGTACACGCATTCAGGAATGGTTATACTTTTATTGCAGAGCTATAGATGCAGTAACATAAGCACTGTTAAGAATGGCAGCAACCCATAGAGCCAAATAGGATATAGGGTATTTGTATGCACCCCCATGGCATGGGCCAATTAGACACCCTCCCGCGCGCGGGACAAGTTAGGAAACCGTTCGGTGGCTAAAGCTGGGAACCAGGAGTCTCTCACGGTACATAGGAGACTTCCAGACACTACAACCTCCTCCTGCACATTTGTAGAGATAAGCGTTTCAGACCAGCAGGGAAAGGCAGACCAGCAGGGATAGGAATGCAATAGCAAGTAACAAGACACAGAATGAACTCCCCAACCTCCATGGCAGCATAGCTGACACTACTTTCTGCAGCCTGCAAAAACCCACGGGGAGCAGAAAACAGGGTTTAAATGGCTTCGAGCCATTTAAACCAAACGGCTGAATGGTGGGCCCCACTGATCATCTGTTTGGAAACCCCTGCTTTCTGCTTCCCACAAAAAGCTGTGGGGAGCAGAAAGCAGGGGTTTAAACTTTAAATGGCTCGCAAACTGATAACAAACCAACCACCCGGTTCAAATGGGTTTGTGGTTTAGCCATAAACACTGAACTGAACCACAACAATATGGTTCATGCCCATTCCTAGCCATGAGATAAACATTTAAGTATTCCCCTGTTCTGTACTATATACGTCTCTCACCAGCTCTGTGAGCAGAGATAAATTTAATTCCAGAAGCCTTAAGGATTAAGCATACAATCAGAAGGAACAAGAAATAATGTACTTCCCCCCCATTTAAATCCTCAAATGTAATTTCTTGGTATGGTGAAGATGGCGGGCTGGTTCCATCATAAACCATAGATGAAAGGTAAAGAAACACAGTCAAAGCTTTCCTAAATGTGTAAGTACTTTGCTTTGAAAAAAATCAATGCAAGTGGAGCTATTGCAAAATACTTTAAACTAGATTTTTATTTGAAGCATGGTCTGGTCAATAAAACATAATCACTGCCATTTCAGTTTCCAGCACCCAGTTCATTATCACTAAATTCATTACAAAATTTGCTGAGGATATGGTGTTAGAGCACTTCTTTATTTTTGTTCACTCTTGAGAACACTGATAAATTATTGGATCATGTTGCTGAAAGCGTGCCCAAGTTTGGATCTGTTGTATGCTTTTAACTGAAAACGCCAGACTGCACTCTCCACAACTAGGAACCAAAGAGGAGATGAGAAGGAAAACATCGAAGGCCCAACATGGTTGTTCCAGTGGGTTTACCCAATAGTCCTGATGCAACAGGTCTCTTAATTATTATAATCTTGAAAGAATATGGCAAATAATGCAGGTAATCAAAGCACTAGAACTGTATTTCCCTTTTGGAGGAAGACAGCACCTTGCTTTTCCACCTGCCAAACAGACCCTTAACAGTGTAGGAATTTTTCTATATTCTTTCCAAGATGCACAATGGGAGTGTTGTGGCCAAGCATTTAATTTTGGGGCAAGGCCACTAGTGCCCCCCCCCCCCCGGGTTTACAGTTCAAACGTTAAGTAGCGTTGCATTCTTCTAAATCCGTTAAAAGTCAATGGGCTTAGAATGGCGTAACACTATTTATGATGGCCCTGTTAGAAAGGGAAGAGGAGCCTTACCAAATTTTCTTAATGCAAAATTCAACATGTTGAGCCTTAATGCCTGCTGCTTTGTTTACCTGTATAGCTCCTGCCTTTGCAGCTTTGGGTTCCAGCTATACTATTTGTTTCTTTTCCTTTGGAGGAGTATAAATGTCTTATATAGCCTCAGAGGACAATCTGAGTGATGCTCTATCATATTCTGAAAATGTGCATTCTGGGAGAGTGTGCATTTTTTAATGATTCTGCAGGCCACAATCCACTATCCTTGTGTACAGCCCACCCCCCCTCCCCACCCCCACTGAGATGAAAAGTTCTTGAATCCTGCACAACTCCCATTCATTTCAGCAGGTGCAGTGGAGTATTCCTGACAGGCTGTACTCTGAATAGATCAAATATAAACATTTATATATCAACATTATTAACAATATTCTCCTTTACCAAGAAAAAACGTCATCTAAAAAAATACATATATTTCAGTTCATTAGAGGGAAAATAAACTTTCCCCACTTTTCAGATTTATTCAACTGTACATTTTAGCCATGAGGATTTCTCATTTAGGCTTGGCTTGGAGCCTAACTGTGCAATCCCAAAGTTATACCCTTTTAAGCCCAATAAAGTCAGTAGGTTAGGAATACACTGCAAGTGTCCTTTCTGCTCCTGGCAGAGGGTGATTTTTGTCAATTCCACTCCTCACGGCACCCCCTGCCCTTTTGACCCCCATGATGTTGCTGGGGGTGCATTGAACCACAACAGCACAATTTCAAGGGGAACAGAAGAACTGCAGCAAGAAAGGGAAGGTAGGGAAGTCATGGTTTATGCAAACCACTATTATGAAGGCACTATTTAAAAAAATACTCCAATTTTGCCACTGGAAGCAGAGGGAGATTCCGAGGTTTTAGAACTTGTCTCTCTTGCACAGTGCTGGACTGGGCAGACGTTCAGCATGTGCTCTACACTATTCTTCTAGCTGAATCCCCGGGTTTGAGTAGTCACGCCCCATGATAACTGTCTCCAGGGAAATAATCAAGGAATTGTTCACCTGGCGTTACATGCCTCCATTATTTAACATGAACTTGGTCTGACACTCAAAGCGTTTTGTTTCCGGAGCACTGAAGTCTGGCTCCAAATGCTCTTCCGTTGCCAAGGTCTTGTAAAGAGAATGTTTAAAATGGTTCAAACTAAAAAATACACAGAACCCAAGTGATTAATGTCACTTGTTATTTGGCAGTGCATTTTTGCACATGGTCATCTTTGAAAGGGCACAACCAGGTGCCTAAAAAAATAAGATAGCAAGAGCCCTTATTTTAGGCTCGTGTATGAGCAAGGCACAAAGGTCATACTATTGAACTATGAAAGGGTGGGTGGGTGGAAGATAACTTTTCAAAATACTTTACTCAGCAGTATTTAGAAGTTTAGGATGTGTGACAAAGGGAAAGTCTGTGCCCAATAGAAACTACCTGAGTCAGGAGAACATGATCCTTTTAAGCATCCATTTTCTTGGTGCCTGGCCCTAGCATTTTACAAAAACAAATCCCAGAGTGATACCCTTGATGGTCTGCTGCATGCCAAAGTAAGAAGGTCTCGTGGTACCTTAAAGGCTAACGAATTTCTTGTGGCATGAACTTTTGAAAGTCAGAGTCTGATCTCTGGCTCATGAAAGCTTAAGGTCACCATAAATGTGATACGGACACAAGACTCTTGGTTATTTCAGTATTTTCTGCAATACTGCCTTCCAAGGCCTAGCCTTCTGTCTCTTCCAGGACAAGATGTCTGCCTCAAGATGGTACTGCGGCTGTGGCTCAGAATCAAAGAGCAACACCTATGGCATTTTAACCAGCAGCTCCTTCAGAGCCCCATGACACAATACCCTGTTTTCACAACAACAAGTCCTAAGCAGCCCTCTTCTAAGCCATACCCCAAATTATTATTCATTTAGAAGGTGTATAGTTTCGATAGAGAGACGCTTCCAGTGTCGCTGAGGTAGAGCTTCAGTGGGACTGACACAAAAGATTGCAGTCCCATTATGCCCTGCTGTTGGGTCAGGGCTTCCCTTGCCGCAAGTGACTTCCATGCAGGCTTTCAGAGTGGAGTGTTTTCTTCATTCTCATTAAGGTTTTCAGTGCTTGGATGAGTCTGTCTGTTTAAAAACAAAAAAGGTGAAGGAATTGCTTATGAAGAAACATTACATTGGCATGGTTGGGTATAGTACGGTATGGTATGGTAGTGTTAAGGTGATAAGGAAATGGTCCCTACAAAGCCTGTTTTTATTTTTCATTTTTGAGGGACTGCCATATCCAGAAGCACTTGTATGTATCATAAACCTTTCCTAAGACACAAGAACCTGGCCATGAATGTCCCATGTATTAGAATCAGCTACTTCCATTCACTTTATATGTATCTGAAGGGTTAGCTGTGGCCAAACTTGGTTGCTGATGGGTTAATGAGGTGTCAAGGAAGTATGACCAAATGCTACTGGCTTTAAGATAGCTGCCAAATAGCATCTGAATCTAGTTCAAAATGCTTAAATTTACCAGAATCCTGCACGTCTTAGGGAGCAACACCCATTCAACTTGACAGAAAAGATGGCTCCAAATGCACTGGAGCCAGTTGTCCAGCATTGTCCACCTTCAGCCAACAGTACAAGGCCCTAGGAAACTGTGTAAGAGCAAGCATCATGAAGATAATCTGTCAGTAAAACGCAAAGTGTAGGGTTCTGAAACCTCAATTTGCCTTGGGGCCCTGCGGGGAATGGTGAGGAGGTTTAATACTTCAACCTCCACTCCATTTCACAAATCAAAACCAAGCTTTGTACTTCATTGGCAAGTCTGAAGTGGTTATAAATGAGAAGAGATATAACTTAAAATATCTGAATTATAAATGCTATTATGCAAGTAGACTTTCAAAGGCCTTTCTTCCTAAAGCAGTAAAAGTATTGCTTTATATTTAGCATAATATATTGGGACAACACAGCAGTATAGTAGTTTTACAGACACACACATGTAAGTGTATGTTAAAAAGGCTAACCCAAAAGTAAGTAGCAAGAGTCTTACCTAAGAGAGAGAGAAAAATCATATATAGTAAAGAACAGAGGCTTTGATGCTCATAACAAAACCAACCTTAGCATTTCCAGGGCATATTTCGTTTCCTTTTGACTCTTTTTGTTGATTGGATAGAAGAGGAGTATGAATAAGCCTAAGAAGATGAGGCCAGCAGGGACCCCTCCAACCAAAACCTTCAGCATGGTGACCACACTGTCAGACTGTCCGCAAGCACCTGATTCGTAACCAACAAACCTATGAAAAACACACAGGACAGGCCATTATCATCAGTTCCCTGCCCCCAGTTTGAAATCCTGCTTTTCTTCCTTTCTGCAGTCTCTCACTGGCTCAAGGGAGCAATCTCGTTTTCTCCCCAGGTGGGCCCAATGCCTGCCAACAAACGTGCAGTTCCAACCACAAGTCATGCAGAAAGTTAAGGGCTTTCAGATGAAAGTCAGTGCACAGAGACTGCTGAGTGCTTGAGAGTGTGCAGCGTTCTGGCCTCCATCTGCGTGGCAGGGTCGAAGGAACCAAGCAACCAATATCCACTTCCTGTGGTTGACATTCCTGGCTGCCCAGTTCCACTTTTGAGGAATCACTGTTTCCGCCTGCACCTAAAGCGATAGACGTGTATACTACTAGGCAGCAATTTTTTAAAAATCCATCCAGTTAAATCTTTCCGGACTCTTTAACCAGAGTGCAGCAGAGCCAATAATCTGCCAGCGATTCTGTGAATTACGTTCTCTGTCTGCAGCCACTGAAACCAGGAGCGGAGAATTGGATTTATTAGACTGGGTGGAGGGGGAGGGTGTACCACTTTGAGTTGTAATTTAAACTGACCCATTCAGTACAGTAAAAACTGCATACTTGTTTGTACAGTAGAACAGAGCACGAAATCCAACCTGCACTTAAAGGAATAGCAAAAGTCTAAATCCGACAATTAAAAAAAAGGGTAACGTACACACAGTGGCCCTGATCCAGCATGACATAACTGCAACTAACCATTTGTAAACTGTTAATGGCCAAGATGTGAACATACACCAAAGCATGCACTGGGTCACTTCCTTGGTACTTTGATGAACGCTGCAGTTCAGATGCACATCACATCTGCAACAATTCGGCATGCAGCAGGCTGCTTCTGCACCTGGACTTCTCTTTGCATATACGAGATAATGCCTTCTAAACAATTCCTTTTCTTTCACTTTCTCCACCTGAGATTTTCCCCATCATGTCTTTGAAGCTTTTGGGCTAGATGTGGGTGCCAAACAGCTGCAAAACGCACCCAACCTAATAAGCACATAGACCCATGCTCTCACAACCAGGGGCGGACTGGCCCCTTTAAGTTATTGAGAGAGTTCCCGAGGGGAAGCTGCCCTTGAGAGCTGCTAGTGGACAGAGCAACCCATCTGGTGTCTGAAGTGGCCACGTGTTAAATGGAGATTTTGGAAGGAGCTGTCAGGAGCTCCCAGGTAAAGTTCAGCCCTTGCCTCCCCGCCCAGCCAGGTTTCCAAACGTGCGCCAGTGTCACGCAAGGGGGCAGGGACATCTGGAAATCTATAAATCCCTCTTCCCAGGGAAGTGCATTTTCCAGGATGGCTCAGCAGCATCGGGTCACTGGCCATGGGCATTGTGCCCTCACATGGGAAGTGTGAGAACCAGCTGGCTGGAGCCAAGAGACGGATCAGAAAAAAGAGTGTCTAGGGACCAGTTTCAGAGTTAGGGAATTTTTTTATTGCTTTCATTTGCCTGGCTGTCTAGCTCATTTTGCTTTTTGACCTAAATCCCATTGCTTTTCTGTGGCAGTGAGGACGTGCAGTTCAAATCCCTGGCACATAGGTGGCCAAGCCTCAGCCCCCCCCCCTCCTTGCCAGCCTCAGCTGCTCTGTGCTTTGCACGCTCATGCAGAGCTGCCCGCTGCATTGTGCTGCAGTGGAATGTGGGCACCTCCCCCCTTTGTCCGGACCTGACGATCACGCAAACCTCCCATCATTTGAGATGCCTTGCTTTGGGGAAAGTTATTTGCAGCTTCTCACACCTTTTGCAATGTTCTGCTATGAATGCAATTGTTCAAGGAAAGGGCAAATCCCCAAAACTAGGTTGGGGGCAGTGGTTTTGCCTGCCTCACCCGTCCAGGGGTTAATCAGGGCAGGCAAAATGGAGGCAGAAGGGAGTGCGGGAAGCCCGCGCAGTCTGCCACTGAAGAACAGGACTCTGGCCAATTCTCCCCCCCCCAGCAACGCCCCCCCCCCCAGGCTTCCACAACCCATGCACATTTGCAAATGTCCCAAAAGCTAAGGTCAGTAGTTCAGCAGTTCGAATGTGCCGCATGATGGAGTGAGCTCCCATCTCTAGTTCCAGCTCCTGCCAGCCTAGCAGTTCGAAAGCAAGAAATTGCAAGTAGATAAATAGGAACCACTTCGGTGGGAAGGTAACAGCGTTCCGTGCGCCTTGGTGTTTAGTCATGCCGGCCACATGACCACGGAAACGTCTTCGGACAGCGCTGGCTCTTCGGCTTTGAAACGGAGATGAGCACTGCAACCCTAGAGTCGGATTCGACTGGCTTTCGAGCAAGGGAACCTTTACCTTTTTAACACCACTTTTCTCCCCAAGTTGCTTTCGAACTACTTGCTTTCGAACTACAGTGGCTTACAATTTTCTCCTCTTCTCCATCTTATCTTCACAACAACCCCATGAGGCAGGCTAGGCTGAGAGGGTAAGACTGGCCCAAGGTCACCCAGCAGGCTTCTGAAGCAGAGCGAGGATTTCAATATGGGTCTCCCAGATCCTGGTCTGCCATTCTAACCACTACATGATGCTGTTTATAGCATTGTGCATGCATGTGTATGGCACTCATTCAGTGCATATATATATATATGCTCGAAAGCCAGTCCCTTGCTCAAAAGCCAGTCGAATCCGACTCTAGGGGTCAGTGCTCATCTCAATTTCCAAGCCAAAGAGCCAGCGCTGTCTGAAGACGTTTCTGTGGTCATGTGGCCGGCATGACTAGACGCTGAGGTACACAGAACGCTGTTACCTTCCCACCGAAGTGGTATCTATTTATCTACTTGCAATTTCTTGCTTTCGAACTGCTAGGCTGGCAGGAGCTGGAGCCAGAGACAGGAGCTCACTCCATCATGTGGCACACTCGGGTCTCAAACTGCTGAACTACAGACCTTCCAGCCGGCAGTTCAGAATCTTAATCACTGAGCCACTGCAGATATATATTCGATGCATATATATTCTCTCAGAAACACAGTGAAGCATATATATTTATATATTTCTCTCTCTGTCTCAAATCCAGGCATAAGTTTGGCAGTGATGGGAAAATGTAAATGTTTATACGTTTTATGCCAGAAAGTTAAAAGTCAGCACTGAGGAAGAAAGGCAACAGCAAATAGTTATGTAGATGATGTTTACTTGGTCAGTGCTGAAAAGTTCTTCTCCAGAGCAAAATCAGCCACCAAAAACTGAGCCAAAAAACGGGGGGGGGGGATTTTTAAATGATCTTTATGTTTTCCAGCTGTGAACTATCTGGAGCGCCTATGGTCCTGTTTTAAGGCTTCCATGAGTTAAAACGTATTTTAAGCAGAGAAAACAGCCTACTATTTAAAAAACAAAACCCTCAGGGATATTCAATCCTAGGCAATAAAAGCTCAAGTCAAACTGGAATGTCTTAAAATGCACATAAAAAGATGAGGCAGCAAAAAAACATTTAAGGGGACAGCCCCCATTGCGGCTGTAAAGCTCAGAGCGCATACAGGGAGACTGCCTGCTTGAAAGCATTCCCATGGTGTACACAAAATTCCCCTGCAGATGGGAAACACACTTCAGGGAGAAGGTTTCGAGCTCAGCCTCATCCTTGACATGAAAGACTGTCAAACAGGTGCACAGCTTGCCATGCTTGGAAGCAGAAGGTGGCGTAGTGGTTGGAGTGTGAGACTAGGATCTTGGAGATGCTGGGTTCAAATCCCCACTCTGCCGTGGGAAATTGCTGGGTGACCTTGGGTCACTATCACTACGTTCAGCCTAACAGGGTGGTGTCATGGATGAAATGGAGGAGAGGAGAATTATGTTAGTCGCTTTGGGTCCCCCCCTGGGGAGAGAGGCAGGCTATAAATGAAGCAATAAACAAAAAGGATGTAGCACGGAAGAGCTATGTTGTGTAGCCCAGTTCCCAGCTGCAGTTTGGTATTATGACCCCCACCCCACCCAAGAAAACTCTTGCCCGGTCCCAACAGAGACATGCAGTTTCCCAGGAGGGGAAGGAAGGATCAGAACAGCTGTCAGTTCAGCATTCTTTTTTTTCCTTTTGGTATCTGTATTTTTCATATGTGCAGGCGTGTGTGTGCACCTGGAAATCATGGCGACCTCTGGTGACTGACCCCGGCTGGGTGCCTGGAGGGTATTCAGAGAGGTGGCTGAGTAATCCATCCAAGCAGGGCTATTTTGGGGCAGGAACGCACAGGAACGGAGTTCCGGCTGGCTCCCAAGTTGGCCACGCCCAGCAGGAACTCGTTAGCATAATAGGCCACACCCAACAGCAGGAACTCATTAGGATTGGCTACATTAGGGGTGTGTGGCCTAACATGCAAAGGAGTTCCTGCTCCAAAAAAAGGCCCTGGGTTTTGACAACAAACAAGGTAAACAGAATAACAAGCAAAAGGTGGGTGTGGCTGGATGAGCACACTTCTGGTAACATGGGGGTGCGGCCTAATGTGCTAATGAGCTGTGCTGGCAGGGGTGTGGCCTAATATGCTAATGAGTTTCTGCGGTTGGGTGTGGCCTATTATGCTAATGACTTCCTGCTGGGCTTTTTCTACAAAAAGAGCCCTGATCCAACTATTTGCCAGAGTCGACTCGGCTTAGCTTCCGAGACCGGGCTTGCCTGGGCTGTCCAGGTCAAGGCTCAGTTCAGCATTCTGATTCCCCACCCCACCAGGGAAGCCTCTCACACAGATGCATCAAAAGGTTTCCGGGACGAGGGGTCAGAAGCTCCAAATCGCCACTGGGACAGGGCATTCTGGTCCCTCCCATCCCCCAAAAACTAACTGGCTGACACAGGAATCCGTGTTCCAGATTTTTCCCTTGCATCCCGGCCGCTTGAGTTTCGTTCACAAACCCCTGGGGTGCAACAGGGGAAATTTCTCTACTGTAAGTCCCCTGCAATGCAATAGAGAACATGTTGAAGGTGAGTGTGATGAGCTGCCAACGTTAATTTTCCGAGCAAAGGGGAAGATGAGTTTCAGCAGCGTTCTCTTTGAATTAAAGGAACTACTCACTCCAGAGAGGATGCGGAAAT